ACTGTAAAATTGCAATACTTTTAATTTAAGAGCATTTTTTATGCAACCTCGGTATTATTTATTGTGTGGGATTGTAAAAGCGGGACTCTTAAATATAAAGTTTTATTATGCAATTTTACTAGAAATCCAGCAGTTAAAAAAAATGCGGCGGCTGTTCGTGTTAATTGGTACTGCGCATCTACGCTGCATATTACGGTAAGCCGGTGAGACAAACAAAGGCACAGCCCAGTCCTAGCTCGCAACAGTGACGTCAGCGCGCCGCTGCGGTGCAGTGACGCGCGGCGATTGGGTGAGCGCGGAGCTAAAGTGTGCAGTAGAGTAAAAAGACAAGAGGCGGACAACAACAGCTGCGACCGTATGAAGCAAACTAAAGACACACTCGCACTTTTGAGGCTCACACGATAAAGATTCGGGTAAGGAGTCGTTTTTTGTGGAGTCATTTCCTTACAACCGCTGCTAGCTAAGGTTGGCCGGAGCAGCTTCCGCCCTTAAGGAACTTTCTTTTGTCCTCTTCAGTCAACAACAAAACAAGCGAGAGAGTGTGTTTACCGAAGAAGGTGTATTGGTTAATTTAGCAACAGTCAAGTATCAAATCCTTATTAATAACACCAAATACAGGCCCGTGTTGTCAAAACAAGTCTGGTATCTTGTGGGTAGTTAAAGTGAAATACCTTTGGACCGGCCAGTATCAGGGGCATTAAAAAGAAAGATATAGCCCGCTGGGTGTGCTCTGTGGCTGTTCCACCGATACAATGAATTATCCCATTTTACGAGTCTTAGGTATATTTACACATAATTGGGTAATGTGTTATATGACAATAAAATTGCACAATTGCAATATAGCAACTTTTTGCAGTGCAGTCTTCTGTTAGAATAAGATGTAAATTTTAAAAAATAATCAATTTATCATTGTGGGTTTTTTTCTATATCTGCTTGAAAGGTCAAAGGCAGAGCAACGCCAGTATTAACCTGCTGCGGTCATAACAACATTGATCTGTTATGTGCATGGACTTAAGGACACACTGTCATTTCTTTAACCGTTTTTGTCGTTCATATTTCCAACACCACCCTATCTCTCCAGATGTCAGGATGGCTGCAAACTTCAAAATTTCAGACAGTGATTCAGAGGCATCAGAGGAGGTAGGGGAAGGAGAAAACCAACAGTCAGCAGGACAAGCTCAAGAAAGCAAGCCCCAGACGCTTTCCCTTCCTGTAATCAAAACGACAGGTAGGAACACAAAATAAATTGTCTGATATACGGTGGAATAGCCAACCCCTTTGGACCATATCAACACTTGAAATTGTGCATAATTAGATTTGTGGATTAGTGATAACTCCCCAGCTCACGCGTTCAGATATGGTCACTTTGCACCCGGTTTCCAAAACAACAGCCAAGGCCACAATGCCAGGCTTGAGGCTTTCAGACGATCTCCCACAAACCAGAGGGTGACATCGCTGTGGCTTCCTCTTTCTGTTATGTACAGTTTGAATCACGAGGTAGAACTGGGGGGGAAGCAAAGGATGTCCTTATTACAGTATGATATTAATTTTGGTAAGCAAACAAAAAATAGGCTTAAAACACACTTGCTGAAAAGCTGATTGGTTTGTTTGTGTCTTTTAGTACAACCCAACCAGTGGCACGCACTTGGCATGAGGGGTGCAATTATGTGAACAGATTAAAACACTGTTTTTTTTTGTATATGGTTGTAAACATGTTTATAGCTGCAGTATTTACTTTTTTTTAACTGTACTTTAAGAGGGCAAGCTGTTGGGAGTTGTGCACTGGCTTTACTGTTCAGCCCTGGATGTTGCACCTTGTTGTATGTTGTGGATTAACTGAGCAGAAGTTCTGTTGGCAAAACATATATTGCAGCATACGTTACCACAGCCTGCTCTAGATGAGATCCCCCCACCCCTTTATTTAACCATTTCTTGGCTGTATCTGTAGAGAAGTTTAGAATCGATCCTTTCTCCTTATTTTTCTTGAGATGCATTCTGGGGTGGGACATTAAAATAAGGTTGTGTTGTAAGCTAACCTGTTTTGCATTTTGAATTGCTTCATTCAAAGCACTATAGGAGGATGTTTTGGCTCTTTTTACCGTGCAGCTGAAAAGAGCCAAAATAACAGTGTACAATAACAGTTGCTGGTCGCAGAGACAACTAATGATTTAAATTCCTCTATTCCTACATTACTCTTTATTTCCTCCTTTCTATCTGCCTTACATTAAAACACTCTGAACCTATCTCACTTTTCCTTTTTCCATTTAGCTGCTGGAAGGCTCAGGGTGAACTCAGAGTCCCACACTTCCTCAATTGCCAGGGATGAGGAGCTCATGGCTAGAGGGGAGGATGAGGTTTGTACTCCCACAGAGGGAGACCCATTCAGGCGAAGGTCAAAGTCAGCTCCCCCTGCTCTGTGGGCTGCCAAGAAGTACGGCAGGCAGCTTCGACGAATGAGTGACGAGTTTGACAGCTTACTAGATAAAGGGGTAAGAATGGGAGTGAGTCAAGGCTTAAATTAGTTTTTTGGGGGGGAAAAAGATGGTGATGATAGGTTGCTAACTTGACATTGTTCCTCTTTCACTGTGCAGGAGATGAAGGTCAAGAAGCTGCACCACTCTAAAACCTGGTGGAGCTATCTCTTTAGTCACCAAGAGACTGAAGGAGAGAACAACCATCTTGAAAACCACAACCAACGCACTGAGTAAGCACTGAGAGGACAAGGATACAAGGTCCGGAGGAGCGGATTGGGGAAACTGTAGCCGAGAGACAATATTTAAGATCAGAACAAGACTGAAGAGGATTTGGCTCGATCAAAAAGAGTGGGACGTGCAGTAAAAAGCAAAAAAGTACATGTTCAGTGAATCCCATCATAGTCATGCCATTTTATGTCATTGTTAACTACCTTTAAATAGAACTTTTGTACTCGTGTTGAGTGTGGTGTAAACAATGTTATTGGGAAGTCCACTGTGGAATTGAAAGGCAGTGATGAGGAGGAACTGCTGCTGGAATCCTGCAAAACGGATAAAAAGATGGGCCGAGAGAGGGGCTATAATCTCTTCTAAACACACAAACAAAGCCTTGTTTAGTCGTAGAAGAGACGCTCGGTTTAAAGACGCTTAGCATTACAGTTGTCTCTCACATTGACATTGCACGGTGTGCTGTGTATGGAGAGAGGAATAACACCTGACTACTGAAGGCCAAATTGAATGCTGTTAGAGTTTTTTTCCTTCCTGCTTTCCTCATTTTCATGAGGAAATCTCCAGAAGCTGTTCGTGTTTGACTTGCACGCTCATTTTGTGCCAAAATGATCTGCCAGCAACAGGAGACAGTACTTTTTTCTTTCTTTTTTTTTTTTTGGCATTCGGTTTAGGCCTCTTCTTAAACAACTGTACTCAACTATCATCTGCTTTATATCGCAAATTTATCCCAAAAAAAAAAGGAAAAATCTTTTACAAGGACAATCTCTGATGCAGAAGTAATATCTTTTTTTGTAAAACTTCAGGGATAATAGCTGAGGGCGTTAAACAGTAAGGCACAATCCAATATGAATATGTTTTTAAAGCCTTGGACGAGCATAAACAAACAATTGAAATTTTTATGTGTAAATATTTTAACATTTTATGAAATGGTAAAGGGTGGGGAGGGGGTGGGGGTGAGTAAGATGGTTTAGCCAGATTTTATTAACGAGGTTACCGTGCTGTTAAGCTCGGCTAACCCAGCAATAGGCAGTGTACAATCCATGGCTGTTGTGATAAATGTTGCGTGCTGAGCTCTCGGTGCATGGGTGAATACAGAGTCCAGTCACATTAAAAATGAGGGATTTCCACTTGCTTTTTGCTTGAAGGATTTTCAGGAGAAATCACATCCTGATGTTTTTTGTTGTTTGTTTTGTTTTTAATCAGTTTAAATGTGAGTTGATCACTTTGACCTGTAAGGGGATGTGATTAAAATGGGCTCATAAACTCTCATGCCTTAGCTTTAGAAGTGCTGATCTGATGCCAGCTTTGCTGGTGTTTTTTAGGCACGTAAGGCGCATAATATATATGCTTTATGGAAATTCTAACTAAGGGCAAAGATCAGCATTTCTGTGCAGCTCGGTAAACATGAGTGGGCTACTTGTGGCTTGTTTATAAATACGTGATTGCTGAAAATGGTAGTGGGTTTGTTCAAGTTGTCTTATTCTTCCTTCCTCTCGACTTGTAGCGTTGAGTTGTGAAGTGCTCGGGTGTGCAGGCATTTATATGGTTTTCAAATTCGAATTGAAAAATATATATATGCGTATATAAATATAATATATAGCTTGGTTTTTAATCAGAGAATTCCAGACAATCAAACGGTGGCCACTTTACCTGACACTCATCCTGTTCTACCATCCTTTTGGTCACATGTGTCTTGACTGGTCATTTGTCAAATTTAAACTACTTCCCATTATAAAAAAGGGGATGAGGAGTTTTCTGATATCAGATTTCTAGAGACACGAGTGTTTAAGCAAGAAATAGCATTTTGCATTTTAACACGTTAGACCCATGTTATCCAATTGCAGGGAGTGCACACACAGTTTTGAGAACTCTGGGTCAGATTATGAAGCTTTACTCTGCTGAAAATAAAGATCAGATGGAATTTAAATGAATATAATGTTGCAAAGAACTGCCTTGAACATGCTGTGACCTGTGACGCCGCATAGCCAGCCTCGTCTGTTTACCCAATTACAGCCTTAAACTTCACTGCTCGCTTTCACAAGTTACACTCAGAGGAAAAACAGAAAGCACAAAAATGTCCCGGTGCATTTACTGTCATGAGATTTTTAAGTGACACACGCGTACACTATAAAATGGCTGATGTGGAGTTTGGCAACTCTTTTTGACTTTAAACATCCGTGACAGTGAACACACCCCAAACCTGCCTGGGCACCTGGATTTTTTGCAACCATCCTTAGTATTACTTGAATCTGGAGATGTGTGTGTGGAGAAAATAAAAATTTAATATTACTTTTTTTTTCTTATTTTGGTTTCTTTTTCAGTTTTAATGACTTGTAAATGTATTTTCTCTACAACTGTGAAAACTCTGGTCTAAATAAATAATTTTAAGAGAGCTTTTAAAAGGTATTTTGTTCTTTTAATTGTCTTTACACAGGTTTAGAAGACCTTTGAGTTATGTTCAATGGAGATTTCTGGTTAGTCAAAGATATTAGGCAAAGGAAAGGCAAGAGATTATGAAGAATAAGGAGCAACAGTTAAACTGACAGATATGTAAAAGTTTTTGTTATCCAATAACAAAGGGAAAGGTTCTCACTAAGACATGGCTTATGGTTGACAAAGTCATGTGATGGGTGACGTTGCATAGATTTAGAGTTCATACCACAATGTGCTGTATTTGTCTTGAAATTAACAAAGTGTTGACACAAAACTTGTAACAGCTTTAAAAAAAAAACCCCAAAAACACCCCCCCCCAAAAAAACCAAAAAACTACCACTGTAAAACTGAAGACAAAAAGGCATCATGGAGGACACAAGCTGGTGTTTCAGGCGACCCCTGACGGATCCCAGCAGTACTTCTGTCCACAGTCCAAAGCTGACAGTCTGTCCATGTCTGCGTCGCTCAGTGTAAAGTCAAAAAGTCTGGCGTTCTCCTGTATTCGGTCTGCGTTTGAGGACTTTGGGAGCACAGCGACACCCTGCTGCACCGCCCACCGCAGCAGCACCTGAGGAGAGGGACAGAAGAACCTTAAAATATTTGCAATAAAAACAAAGGTATACCCAAGATAGCAGAGCGAGTGGGCTCACTTGTGCGGGGGTGCGTTGGCACTGCTTTGCCACCTCCAGGACCACAGGGTCAGTAACCAGATCTCCTTGGCCTAAGGAGGAATATGCTTGGAAACAGACTCCATACTCCTCACAAACACTCTTCAGCTCTGCTTGGCACAGACGTGGGTGAAACTCTACCTGAAGAACACAAAAAAAACCATGAGATTTCAAACAGCTGCTAATGTCTTTCACTGTCCTCCATTCAAACTCCTGCATTGTACCTGTAGAACTGCAGGGGGGACTTTGCAGCTCTGCATTAGTTCTCTCATGTGAGCTACTGTATAGTTGGACACTCCAATGGCCTTCAGCTTCCCCTGGCCATGCAGCTCCTCCAGCGTGGCCCAACTCTGAGCTCGGTTTCCTGGGATCAAATATTTATTAGGACCTCATCTCTGCCGTTACTCAATGCCTGCTATGTTGCAGTGGAGGAATGAGAGAAGACAGCTTGAATGGGTTTTGTGCAGTTAGTGCAGCAATGAAATATAGATCACTCGAAACACCTGAAAAAAAAAAAGTGGAGTCTACCTGGGTTGCTCTGATCAGCCACTGCTAGACCCTGCGTGCCAGGCCAGTGAATCAAATAGAGGTCAATGTAACCCAAGTCCAGCTGAGACAGGCTGTGAAGGGCACCTTCCATAGCCCGCTCACCCTGATCCTTAGGGCCCAGCTTACTGAAACACAGGAAGAGAAACAGGGATCTGAATGAGCGGCGCAACACCTCAAGTCAGGTTTAGAAGCCCCAATGTGTTCTCTTAGAAATCATGTGTCAACTTATGCTTTAGAAGCCTGTGCATCACCTGGTTATGAACACATCCTGTCTGGTCAAGCCGTGCTTGGGCAGGAGCTCCCTCAGAGATCGGCCCATGTCGGCTTCATTCCGGTAGACGGCTGCACTATCAAAGGCCCGGTAACCCGCAGCCAGGGCGGCATCCACGGCCCGATACACTTCTTCAGAGCCGTGCAACTTGTAAGTCCCCAACCCCAGGAGGGGCATTTGAACCCCAGTATTCAGGGTAACAGAGGAGGTGGTGGTGGACGACATCCTGGACTGCAAGGCCCTTCTTTACTTTGCACCCTGTTAGGAATAACTGGTTTGCCAAGCTCTATCAAAGACGGATAGAGAAAGTGAGTTTAGCTGGTTTTCTGCTGCCCTTTGCCCCATTTTGTGTGTTACATCACTGGAAAATTGCTTGAAAGCACTTCCTTAAACTTGGTAACAATACAGATTTTATCTTGTTTCACTAGAGACTTTTTGGTGCTTCTCTAACACAAAATAAGAAAGGCAAGCAACACGAAGATGTAAACTAACATCACTAATTTAGCTGGTCACAGTGTATGAAGACTATGACACTTGAAGAGCACTTTTAATAATTTCTGTAGGCAGACACGTGGACATTACAATGCAGGAAGGGGACGGTATACTCTAATATATAAACAATTTTACGTGAAAAATATTTCCACCCCACCTTTTTTTCACCTCAAGTGACTTCTTTAGGAAAGGCGGTGCATACACTGGCAGTGTCCTCTCAAAGAAATTACTAACAAGTTATAAAGCAAAGGTAACTTCCAGCCTGAGCACAGTTTCCTACTACTAGCTACCATATGTGGTCAGCTGACAGTCACGTGACAGTTGGGTCGGTTTTCGCCGTCACCATAGTGACACCTGCTCTGACACTGTGGATTGGAAGAAGACGTGAGGGATCCAACGAATCACAGCAGCCCGAGCGGCCGGAAGGCGGGAATATATCCTCCTCAGCAAATCTCGAGACGAATCAGACGTTTGATTGACGGATACAGATTTAACTGTTCACGGTCTGCTTGAGGTCGGAGATAACCCAGTGAACGAGGTAGCGAATTCGAGGTCGCTATTTTAAGCATTAGACAATACGGTAATTAAAAAAAAACTAAAGCGAGAAAGAAATTTTGTTTTTCTAACATATGTAAGGACAGTACTGCATGTGAAATCTGCCCTGTATAGCTATCTGAACATTTTCTCCCTGCTGTATTTCCTATTGAATTCTCACTATAACAATGAATACATGAATTGGCTAATTTTCTCATTTTATTTCCTAAGCTCATTTAGGTCGACTATGCCGTTGCAGGCCTTCTCATTTCCTCTCCCAGAAACTCGATTCTTTAAAGCAGGGAGTTTCATCTACAAGTTCACGATCAGAGGAGGCTCCAGCTACAGGCAAGGCAGTGTTATACACAGTGTTTCGTACTCAGGCTCTAGTTTATATGTGTACAGCTCAGAAAAATGAAAGGAAGGCTTTTTAATCAGAGTATAGCTTAATATTAGCTAAACTTCAGCAATATTGATGTGGTCAGTTAAACAGCAGATGGGGTTGTTAATTAGTTTCAGCTGCTGCAGTGTTAATGGAATTAACAAAAGGTTCACAACAACTGGGCGACAATAAGACAACCCCCAACACAGCAACGGTGTTAGAGGGTGGAGGTCACTGACATTTTCCCCTCCTGATCGTTTGTCACTATTTTTTTTAACTAGTTTTGCATCTGGCTAGTATCACTGTCACTGCTGATAGCATGAGTTGATACCTGCACTCTACAAAGGTTTCACAGGTAGCGAGACTCCTCCAGGATGCCCCGACATTCTCGGGCTTGCATACAAGCACGTAGGGGCCATGCAAATTACTGGGTACCATTTTGAGTTGCTCCAATGAAATTTCGGCCCATTTTCAGAGTTTTTCGAGTTCAGTTACTCTCTAGGTTGAGAATTTTCATTTTCAGGTAATTCTGCATGCTTTCATTCCTAATACACGACTCAGTCAATATCAGTATAGTTATCAAGCATCGTAGTCACAGTGAGAGACAACTGTAATGCTAAGCGCCTTTAAACAGAGCGTCTCTTTAGTCTTCTGCTAAACAAGGCTTTGTTTGAGATCTGATGTGTTTTCAAAGTGTTCCTGTGATTTTTGTGATTAGTGCGTTTTGCCTCTCTTCAGTATAGAGAATGAACCAACGTCACATCCCCACATAAAAAAGCAGAAATAAACATGGTAACAGTCGAATCCTAATTGTGTGCTAGTGAAGACTTTCTTGATTGCTCGTTTCTTAGGAGTCTTTCTCCAAACCAGAATGAGCTTTACTAGCATTTTCAGCTATGAAATAATTTAACTGTGTCTAAGCCTGAGACGATTCCACTTCCACGTGTATCTCTTCAAAGCAGAGCAAACCTGCAGCACAGCTTGAAATCAGTACACGCGCTGCAGAGAAAGTAAGGATTCAGGTTGCACCTACCTTTTTTCTTCTTGCCACGTGGGACATCCCTTTTCCTTTGATAGTCTAAGTTCTTTAAAGCACTGTAAAATGTTTTCAATCCCCAAATCAGTTGGGGAAACAGCTGTGCTTCAAGCTTTGATGATTTCCGTGCTTTTAATGCCACTCTTTATAAGGGTTTCTGTTATATATCACGATATATGATTCCTGGCAGTTATTTTGATCAGCAAAAGAGAAACATCTCACTGGAGCTGTATGTCTATATTCCAGGATAATGCCCCATAATAAAAGTCTGAGTGATCCTTGATTCTGCCTTAAAGCTATTTTCTGTTATTTAAAATACAACATACATGTTTTTTTTACACATTTAAAGCCCTGCAGCACTTAACCGTTTCTATTTCTGTCAGGACAACTTTAATCAAAATATTCTCACCACAGTGTGTCATATTTGGTCGTACAGTATGGCTCTGCTCTGGTGTCCACCCACACTCTATCGAAGCAGCAGCAGCAGCAGAACCTCAGTGGTAACAGAGGGGGTGGAGGTGGGTTGCAAAGAAGCTTGCAGAGTCATCGAAAACTATTCATGCTGAAACGGTTTAAATAGCACAGTTCGTATGGGAATTCCAAGCAGGATGGCCAGGTTGATAAAAAGCCTTTAGATATTATATTTAACCTTACTGCTTTTGTAATAAGTTGACAACTTCTTTAAGAGAGAAACTTTATGTGAGCATCAAATGGGTGTGTCTCAACAGCCAACAGGATGTTATGGGAGAAGTCGCCTTCAATCAGGAATTAGAGGTAATTGTGGATCCTTCTCAGCACCCATGTGTTCTTTCACACACTGTTCTTTTTTAGATCCTCTTTTCATGTTTGTGCCTCTTCTTCTCTGTTTTAAGGAAATTATTAGAACCGTTCTTGGCAACCTGGATGACCTTCAGCCCTTCTCCTCCACCCATTACATCATCTTTCCTTGTATCCTTCACCTCTGCATCATCTCTGCGTTTAAGCGCCTTTCATCCCTCAATTTGACCCATTATTTCTCTACCTATGCTACTAAACTGATATAATACAGTCCATAGGTATGTAATGAGGATCACAGAAGTCAAAATGTGAATGGTAGCTCCTGCCTGGTGTATTTTGTTAACTGTAGCTGTCAGATAAGAAACAGTGGGAGAGTGTGTGCAAACATGATGAGATGAATCTGAGCGTCTACCCTTTCACTCTTATCCTCTACCTGGAGAAAAACATGCAGAACGGTGAGGGCAGCTGCACGTCTGCTGGATATCTTGCAGCTTTAAAGCTGACGTACTAACATAACACACTATAAAGTAAAGGAAGCTTCAACTAAACTGATGTTCACCTTTTTAAAAAAAAACAAAAAAACATTTATGTTTTAAGGACAGAATCTGGGAAGAGAGATTTAATTCGTCACCCTTATTTATCTTTTTGTGTCATCAAAAGCAAGATGCAAGCAGAGGCATGGACGAATACTTTATAGAGGTTTAGCAGTTTTCTATTCTTTATTTTATGCCACCTTGTTGCTTCTCCTCTGTCCATCTCTTAAGGATGACTCCACTTCATCTGACAGATAAAATATGTCAAATGGCCCATAAAATATAACAATACATCATAACACAGCTATATTGTGCAATACCTCATATTAACTGTTTTCATTTAAAATTATGGCTCCAAAACAAAAAAATTATTTTCCTGTTGGTTTACACCTGCCTTCTTTATAACTCATCTTTAAGACATGAGGAAATAAGGGAAGGAATCAAAGAGAGAAAATCTTGGGAAATGAGAACAATGATCAAGGATAGTGTTCAGGGATGATGATATCTCATGTCAGTTTATTTGTGTTCTTTCAGGGTCTCAATCAGTGGAGGTGAGTGGATTATTATGTTACTCACAAGAGTACACGAGAGAATGTTTACATTTTATATTCAAACTATTAAACAAAGAAATATATGTTGCTGTGGTTAGTGCCGAAAAGTTCTGCTCTGAACACATCGTTTAAAGTTAAAATCAGTGACTAGATGAAAGGTTGTATGATGTTTTCCTTATAATATAATAGAGTGCAATCAGGTAATACAACAGTACAGTCGAGCTGGGAAGTCATTGAAGCGTCTTTCTGTAGGAGAATGATGTAAGGCAGCACATCCCTTCCATTCCCGAGCCTCAGTTAAAGAGAGATTCACCACTAGAGGAGGCCATACTAAAGGACTTAATCAATGACACGGAGGCCGAAAACAGGGTGGCAGTGACTGGGTGAGTGTTCTCTCTCTACATACATCTCTCACAAACTGCATTTGCTCCATTTGTAACATTTAAAATTGTCTTTGAAAATGTAAAAATTGCATATCTTCAACACTCACCTGGTTCTCTTGTGACAAGTTTTATGCTAATGGAAAACAGCAGAAGTTGCACTTGGTTTGAAGTGAAATGGTGAGCTAGTTGAAGGTGGCGAGAGAGCAGACACATAGTTAGCTACTCCCCTAAGTTGGGCATAATAAACCCACCACATACTTTAACAGGCCAAATAAACGTGAGATGATGGGTGGTGGGAATGAACAAAGAAGTAGAAAAACGAACCGGCAGCAAGACAAAGCTGTGGTACAACCTGGAATCGTCTTGGAAAGCGAAGATGGCACAACAGAGGAAGTGGACGGCCAAGTTCACAACGAGACACTCCGAGTTTGGCTTGCTACAATCTGTATAAACATAAAAGACCTTATGCAAGAGCTAAAAACCGAACTAAGCACTTTAAAAGATGAACTGAAAAGAGAGTTAAAAGAAGAAATTGGTGCTCTTCAGCAGAAACTTGAGCATGAGCTAACTGAGCATGTAAACAAACTCTAGACGTAGAAGGTGAGCCTCACTGAAGCCCAGGTGCACATAGCAGATGGAGTCTTATCTTCAGCTTGATGTTCGAAGCAGGAAAAATGAAAAGGCGTAAGGATTTGAGTGAGTCTAACAAGGACCAAACTGTGATGGCTGGATTACTGGGTCAGAACGTCTCCAAAACTGCTGCTCTTGTAGGGTGTTTCCGTCTGCAATGGTCAGTATCTATTAAAGTGGTCCAAAGAAGCAACAGTGGTGAAACAGAGACAGGGTCATGAATGGCCAAGGTTCGTGGGGAGGCTGGCCTGTGTGGTCCGATCCAACAGACGAGCTACTGTAGCTCAGATTGTGGGAAAAAGTTATTATTGGTTCTGATAGACAGTTGTCAGAATACACAGAATATCACAGTTTGTTTGCATAACCACAGACCAGTCAGGGCAGAGCTTTAATCTCAATGTGTAACATACCGACGATGTGTCACACCCCTAGGTGTCACGTAGTAACGAGAAAGGTACCCTTCCGTGTCCTTATCAAACGCTTTGTGTTGTCAATTGAATCCAATAGAAAGCCGCTCGCGG